TTGCTTTAGTTGATGCCAATCACAAATTTATTTGGATAAATGTAGGTTCTAATGGAAGAAACCATGATGCTGCTGTGTATAGAGAAAGTAACTTAAAGGAAGCTTTAGAGTCCCATACCCTTAACCTTCCTTCTCCAAGACCACTACCAGGAAGTCAAATAGATACTCCCTATGTTATTATTGCAGACGACGCATTTCCTTTGGGACCGCATTTGATGAAGCCATATTCTTCACGAGGCTTAACAAATTAACAGAGAATTGCAAACTATAGGCTTAGCCGAGCTCGGAGAGTCGTGGAAAATAGTTTTGGGTTGTTGTCCAATAAATTTAGAATTTTGTTGACAAAAATACATTTATCTCCCCCTAAAGTTGAATTGATAACAAAGACTTGCTGTGTATTACACAATTTTATTAGAAATAGATCTCCTGTACTAGAAGTAATGAATAATGAAGAAACACAAAACATATGTCAGATGAGATCTATTAACTTCAATCAAGGTGGCAATAGATCCACCAACACAGCTTATAATATACGTGATGAATTTTTAAAATATTTCAATGGACCAGGAGAAGTACCATGGCAGCAAATTGCTGTGGAAAAAGGAAATTTTTAAGTATATTATACCAATGAAGTTATTTTTTTTTATTATTTAAAATTAAATAAAAAGCCCATTTTTAACATTAATCAATTTTATTTAAAAACAAAACATACATTTTTACCTTATTCAGTCTTCCTTGACTAGAAATGCATGTAGTTAATATTGTATTATGAAAATTTCACAATACCAAAACATACAAATTTAAAAATATTATTTAACAATTACAAATTAAAATAATTAGGTCTTATAATTTGATTTAAAAACTAAATTTTAAATAAACATTAACAATTTAATAAAAAAAAACAAAACAAATTTTTTACTTATAACTCAGTCTTCCTTGACTAGAAATATATATTGGTAATACTTATTTGTTTTAAAACATAATTTAAGGAATATCCTTAAGTTGAGCATCCATTAAAATATTTAATATTTTTTGTGTCGTTGCAATTTTAAGGGCAGGATTTTTGAAAGATTGCAGCGTAGCACTTATAAATTGAGACAAACCATGTGATGCATTATCTAATGGTGGCACTGATGGTACTGCTAAAGCCTTTGCAATGTTACTCAATGCTTCTTCTGATTTTTTAAGTGTACTGTCAATGGTCATCTTTTTTTTTTTTGTGGCTGATACATCATCACTTAACCATGATGGTGCTGATGAGGTTCTCCTAGGTGTCATATTTTCTATAATATAAATTCAAACATACATAAATAAGCAACTGTTCAATCATATTATTAAAATATGATCATATATCAAATTATATTATAGGCCATAGGGAATATGACCCCCAATTTTTTTAATAAGCTTATTCATCAAGCTTTGGGGTGAATCAGAATTAATTAGACATAAACAAATTTGTATTAAGAATAAATTATCAAGACCTACAATGTTTGAAGAAGGAGATGAAGAATTCATATATTTCAAAAACTATAAAAATACTCAATGAATTCCAATTGTTATATAAGATGACTTCAAATGTATTTTAAACCCTGAACAACCTGATACACTGTCTTCTGAGTTACTCATATGCTCTTCTACTTCAACTATCACTGTATCTTCTTCCTCAACTATATTATCGATTTCAAATAAACTGTACTGAACGTCTTTAGGAAACTGATACATCTAAAAAATATACTTTATTCTAGTGTAACGTATGTCACATCATTTCGTCTATAAGCATCATAATATGCCTATTGTGCATATTATGATGCTTATACCATAATATATCAAGCCCCTCCGGTTAAGGTGCCACTTATATATTTTATTTTATTGTAAGGCTACGGCCAATATCGATATGTAAGAAACAGTCAGTTCCCCGCGATTCCATCACGCGCACCTGAACTCGGTACAGACCCACATTTTTGGTAACGTTGT